GCCCTACACACGCGGAGGAGCACGGGCATGCAGTCACATCTTCACAGGAAGAGGAAGATCCACCAATGGACATGACAGCACATTTGGGAGGACGACCACGGCGAGGACGACACTCACGCGCATCAAGCGGAACAAAACTTAACGGCACATGTTGACGAATGCGCGCGCCCAGGTGCTGAAGGGTTCTACCTACATACCGATCTTCACATTGTCGGCATTGAAAGAAATAGATAAGGTTACTTTTACTAAGGGTAGGTAGAACATCCTTCTTCACACTGAACGCACGCACTGTCCCAAATATGACGTAGAGGAGACGGCTCGATACCGGGACGTTTTGACAGCCAAATTTGTATAGACCCAAACCGATCATCAGCGTTGATTTTTCACTCGAAATATGTTTGTGGAAGGAAACTGGAGTGTTGAAGTTTGCTCTGGGGCCAGAGTCAATCGAACTGAGCCACTCCTTTGTGTTGACCCATTGCCTCCAAGTTGCCCAATTTTTCGCTTCAAAAAAGTTCAAATCAGAGATGGCTCCAAACCGGACACGTTTTAGAGTGCACGTCAAATTCACTCTGGGTCTGAAATTAGGTAATTGCTATCGCTCCACGACGGCCAGTATAGAGTAACAATAAGCCTTGTGTGTGCTTCCATTAGTTTTGATTGGTATGCGGTGCTTTATTGGCGAGAGGCGAGCCGCTGTTTACCTGCGACAAGAAGTTGATTTTTCGAAAGTCGTAAAACTCAAGTCGCAGTGCGAAGCAACACGTCAAAAACTCACCTGCTTGATATGGCGCTTCTGGTCATCGCAGAGCCATGAAATTTTGGCTCGGAGTATAACACATAGTAGTCTCACTGTGACATATGTTTTCTGATCAAAATACCAAGAGAGAAAGTGAATATTGAGTCCGTTCCGGTTTGCAACCGGTGTCCTATTTGAAACCGTCCCCTCTACAGCTTGACGCACGGATAAGATGGACATACGATACCACGAACATCCTTCTCCACGCGTGCAGAACCGGCGCCAACCCAGGGTAAACGGAGCACCACTGGGCAAAGGTCAGGTCCAAATTGGATCGGCTTGTCTGTCGCCGGTTTTTCGTTGATTAGCTTGGCCAGAAATTCCTTTGGATAGCCGTTGTTCGTAAATATTGATGTCAGTCTGTCTAATTCGTCCTGCAATAGACGAGGGGAACATATTCTATGCGCACGATACACTAGCGCTTTCACAAGATGTCTCTTCGATTTCGTTGGAGTATAGCTCCCCCACGGAATGTAGAGGCCGGTGAAAGTTGGCTTCCTATAGATAGTGGTGTCCAAACTCTTAGTGTTAATGTTGCGTGATATTTGTACATCCAAGAAGGATAATCTGCCGTTTTGTTCCGCTTCCGACGTGAATCTCAACGCCGGATGGAGGCTATTCAGAGTTAGTAGAAAAGTCCCACAGACATCCTCATCCTCATCGTGACAGTACACATCGTCTACAAAACGACAGTACATAGAGGGCCCGTACCAATTGTCGTGAGTTGTACAGTGATAATGTGTTCTCAATATTGTCACGTGGTAGATGTGCGTTGCATCTGGCTGTGTTAGAAGCTTTGTATATCCGTAAGTTAGATCCTGAACTTTGCGTACAGAAAGAAAACGTATTGTCGCTACAATTGTTTGGTGTTACTCCTCGTCGAGGTGTTAACAATGTAACTTAATTTGTTCACTATGTTCTTGTCACTATTATTATTTCCTTCGAGTTTTTGTGTCGTGCTGAACTTGATAATTTTCCACCTTGTCACGAGTGTTGTTATCTCATATCTTTACGCTATATAAGCTTTAGTGTTTCCAACTTGAGCCATTTCCTGTATAATCCTTGATGACAAGGGACCGAAAACGTTCGGATACTTTGACAAGTGCCTTATTTTGACTGGATGTGTGTTTGCGTGGATACTTACGACCCAACACGTACCTTCGTTATTAAAATAATAATAATAATAATAATAATTTAAAGAGTCGGCGTGGAGAAAGCAATTTTATTAGTGCAATTAGGAGTATAATCGATGCAGACATGGCCAGACAACAACAAGTTCATGGAATTTTTTAAAAGGATATTTTTATGTTATTCAAAATCGATTTTCGTGTTCCGCTCATCAGTGAATAGTATCGGAACTGAGGGTACTGTGTACAAAAATAGAACATTTTATAACAGCATAATTAATTAAAAGTGTGAACAACAAAGGAAGTGCTACAGCATTACATAATAGTTATCACGTCCAGATTGTCTTAGTGTGTACGATGATTCTCACTTTTCTATTTTGTGCCGTGCAAGTTATGTTAAGCAGTTGAAGGTTCTGGAAGCTGTATGTATTCGTGTGCATAATCCTGTTCTTTGTAAACAAAAGAAGCATGTAGTCGCGCTAAAGTTGTTCTCGTAGCTGGTTATCAGATGTAAATGTTGTGTCATGTTGCACTGTATCACATCTTGCTTTGTGGCTGCACTCAGTTATATACGTTAGCACTATGTTTGACACCTATTATGTAATGCTGTAGCACTTCCTTTGTTGTTCACACTTTTAATTAATTATGCTGTTATAAAATGTTCTTTTTTTGTACACAGTACCCTCAGTTCCGATACTATTCACTGATGAGCGGAACACGAAAATCGATTTTGAATAACATAAAAAAATCCTTTTAAAAAATTCCATGAACTTGTTGTTGTCTGGCCATGTCTGCATCGATTATACTCCTAATTGCACTAATAATAATAATAATAATAATAAATAATCTTTCTGGGCAGCTGGACGAAACATTCTAAACTCGCTCACCATGCTCACAGGGCGCAACTTTGTCCGTGAACCTCCAAAAGCTACGCTAGGCGATCTGAGTGCCACATTTGCTTCTATTGTCACTGATCCTAATCCTTGCCCACCCTTGAGCAACCTAATACCTGACATCTCGACAACAGCTGACGCAGACGCCCAATCTTTTAAAGAATTTCGTGCCGTTTCAGCTCTGGAGATAAGCGACCTGTTGAAGCATTTGAACTGTGCCAAGGCAGCTGGATCGGATGACATTCCTCCTCTGCTCCTACGCCTCTGTGAGCCTGCCGCTGCAGGTCCCATAGCGCAGATAATTAACGAGTCCTTGAGTACTGGAATGGTGCCAGACGTGTACAAATTGGCTACAGTGTGTCCTGTCCACAAGTCAGGGGACAAATCTGAAGCGTCGAGTTACCGCCCTGTTTCACTTTTGCCGATTGTTTCTAAGATCCTTGAGAAGGTAGTACATCGGCAAATGATTAGATTCCTTCAAGATCACGCTGAGCTTCGTATTCTCCCAGACGAGCAATTCGCCTACCGCAGAGCGCACTCCTGTGAGGATGCGTTAACTCTCGCAGTAAACCGCTGGATGATGAGTGTGGACAAGGGCGAGTATTGCGGGGTTGTACTCGTGGACATGAGCAAGGCCTTCGATCGGGTACGCCATGAACTACTACTTAACGAGCTTCAAGCTATTGGCATAAGCGGAGTAGCACTACAGTGGTTCTCCAGCTATCTCCAGGGTGGACGACAACAGGTGAAAATTGGAAATAACAGAGGAGACGAGACACATTGTACACGAGGCGTTCCGCAAGGGTCGGTGCTAGGGCCTCTGTTATTCTCTTTGTACGTGCGACATGTCCCTGGAGTACTTCGCCACGCAGAGTCCCAACAGTATGCTGACGATATCGCCTTTTATATACACTGTCAGTCTACTGGAGAACTTCAGCACAAGTTGACAAGTGAGTTGAACAGACTAAATACGTACCTTGGAAGCATTGGTCTCATCTTGAATGCCCAGAAAACGAAGTTAATGGTGCTTCGGAAGAAGGCTCTGCCTCTTCCGCCGGATCTTACCATTGCATGCGGTGGTGTCGATATTCGACCTTCTGCCACAGCGCGTTATTGACCAACACCTCACCTTTGAGGATCAAGTCAACCATGTATGTACATCTGTTTATAAGAAGATAGGAGCATTCCGCCGCTGCCGCCGTACAGTAGACCACACAACTAAGCGAATATTTTATTTATCCCTCATCCAATCCACTATTGAATACGCCAGCAACTCGTATGCTCACTGTCTTACACCATCTTTATACTCTCGCCTTGTTACTTTAAGTCATATCAGCATGAAACATGTTTTTGGTCTTCCTCGCCGTACCCCGACTGTCTTTGTTTTGCGGCACGCTAAGTTATACTCCCTCGAATCTCGTCTCAACTTGAGGCTTTTTATTTTTGTTTTCCGCTGTATTCATAAGCTTACAAGTCCTCTTCTTTCCTCAATGTTCACCCTCCAGTCAGCTGCTACTTGCACCGAGAGGCGCACTAGAGGGCAATCATTCTCTTCACTTTCTTTGCCCGCTGCTACCACTAGATATGGCATGTTCTCCATTTCTTTCCTTGGCGCTGATAGGTGGAATTCTCTGCCTGTCTCGTGTCGTCAGGTTGAGCATCTATCCGTTTTTGTTTCGCTCTGTAAAGAGCACTTAGGGTTCCCTGTAACAAGACGGCAACGTCTGTAGGGCCTTCCCTATCAAAATAATAAATTCTACTACTACTACTACTACTACTACTACTACTACTACTATTCAACAGTTGAAACTGGGGCAACGTTTCTTATCACCATAAAGCCCCCCCCCCCCTCCCCCCCCCCCCATGCATGGTTCGTGCTGTGGGCTCTGAACGGCGCAACAACGGCCTTATCTGGCCGCTGCGCACGCATTACGAGCCAATAAAAAGGACGAGGACACTTGAGGAGAGCCTGTGGGGTGCCCCACAATACTCAAAGATTACGGGGGAAATGACCCCTGGCTGACAAAAGAGGTCCCAGAACCCCACAGATGACCCGAGACCTCACCTCATCTACGCACAAAACGTTTTGGCGTAGGAGGAGCATCGAAAAAGACGTCGTTGGCTGTATTCCACGTCTTTTACAAGCGGCCACACAGGCACACAGCAATCACTTCACACTTTGAAGCCGCCCTGTACTGTCTAGAGAAGTTAGTTGTCTTCCATTTCAATACCACCAGATCAAACGGCATTGTGTGGCGGTATTATTGTGACCCGCGGGACTAGCCAGCCGAGAGACACCGGTGAGTTTCGATTACGCTTGTTCTTTCAATGCTGCATTACCAGTAAGCGGTTCCTGGCTGTGTCACTCTGTGCTTAATTTCGACTGGCGCAACTTGTTTTCAACAGCACATGTAGAAGTTTTGCCGGAAATATATAGGTCTGTCACTAGTCTCCAAGTGATGGCTTCAGTGAGTTTGGAAAACTGTCTATTGCAGCAAGGAAGCGAAATAAGTGTGTCGACTTGTAGAGACGTACGTGGAACTAGAAAACAAACTGCACTCTTTCACAAGGCGATGTAACTTAGAAATAGGAAATAAAACATGATTGCCAGTACTTAGAGGTTTGCACCTTTGCTCAGCTGCTGCTCTTAAACAATCTACTACAGACGAGCTGTCAGACACCGGACGACGAGGCTCAAAAGACGACAAATTAGGGGAGGATAACTATTGGAAATGCAGCGGAAGACCGGAATGGTTCTGATAACTGAAGTATATAGTGTCTGTCACAGCATTGTTTCTCTCTGTATTGTCCCCTCTCTCTCTCATCTGACTTATAATTATTTGCGCATGCTCGATGCGAACAATTCAGTCCTTGTCTTCTCCCGCACATGGACACATGCGTGGCTAGCAGTCCCAACACAATTGTGGTGGCAGTGATTGGATTCGAATCCATGCCTTCTGTGAGACTGGAGCCCATGCTGTGACAAGCACTATTATAATGTGTATTGCAATGATGATTCAAGCTGTGTGGTTTTCAACCATGTATTGCCTACAAATGCACTGACAGCACTGACATCATACGGGTTGACTCAATAGGTGAAAGGCACAACATTCTGGTCCACGTGCCAAGGTCACTTGTATCATGATGGAAAGGTGACAAAACGCTGAACAGTAGAAAATAAAATGTACTTGAAGAGACCAAAAGGTGCAAAACTCTAAATATCTGTTCTTCAACTGATGGACCAGAGCAGGGTTAATGTGATTTCTTATCACTCTCTTAGTATTCATCACATCATCATCACAAGCCCATCACGGCTGTCCTACGCCTTGGATACTGCGACATTTCAAAAGATGGCCGCGATCGCGCGTCTCCCTGGCGATCGCGTACGCGGCACCACGCGGCCGCAACGGCGTGGCTTGTATTCAAAATTTGAAACACTCAAAAATACTGGTTTGGTTCATCTGCGCTGCTTATTTGCTGCTCGTGGCTGGCTCTCTGGGTCGCGAAAAGCAAGCAAAATGCTTCCACCGAAAAGCAGCTTTCTCCTCGTGCAAGAAGAAACAAAATCGACAGAGAAATTTTGAAGCTGGCTTTCTTTCTCTGTGTCCTTCTTCTACGATCCGGTACGAATCGTCCATTACTCCTTTGGTGGATCTCGCCCTGCTTGTGGAGCGCTTATCTTCTTTCGTTTAATTGTCTGGAGCTGGTCTTCATTTTCTATTCACTCGTTTGTCCTTGGTCGACATTTCCCACACATTCGCAGCTTGGGCCGCAGTGGTTTTCGCGCGGGCCACGGCCCTCGAACTTCCTTGGCTATGGAGGGCCACATCAAGAAGCTGGAGCAGGTGTGCAGGATTAGTGGTGGAAAATTTACGAAACAGGACCGATCCACCCGTTATTCCGTTGCCGAACGTGCCGGTGAGATTCAAGCATGCTTCAAAATCAATGTATTGAATGACCAGCCTGGCATACACCCTGAGTTTTTCTGCAGAACATGTAAGAAAGTGCTAGATAGGTACAGTAAGGCGTCTAGCTCGTTTGTGACTCGTGGTGGTGGTTGTGGTAGTAGTAGCATAGAGTGGGTGGCTCACAAACGTACTGGTTGTTCTGTCTGTGACACCCTGAGTCGTCCTGGCAGAGCAGCCACCAAGGACACCACCCCAAGACTGATTGAGAAGTGTGATGATGCTAGTGAATGTCCACAGGCTACCCAGGATCAAAACGTCAATCCACAATCAAGTCATGAAAAACAAGCAGGCACACAGACAAGTACAGACGTAGACGTAGACATCGAAGACCAGAGTGGTGTAGATGTAGACATAACTGAAGTACAGAAGAAAGCCACTCCTCCTTACCAAGCTGGTATTGCACTGGATGGAAGCCGTTTCACACACGATGTCAGTTATGCTGCATGCCCTATCTGCAGATTAGTTACCGATCCAGCTATAGAGGCACCTTGTTGCAAGCAGGTATTTTGCTTGCCATGCATCTACCAGTGGCTCCAGGGGTCTACCAAATGCCCATACTGCCGGTCAGCCCTGATGGCGTCACAGCTTACATCACCGCACCCCTTTGTAGGCCATGCTCTAGCGGCAATGCTGGTGCACTGTGATTTCAGGGAATCCCCCCTTGTAGGGTGTCGACAGGTCTTGTCCTTGGCATCCTTGGTTGATCATGTCCGGGAATGTTCACATAACCCTGGTAACAGTCTTGAACCCCACCCTACAGTTGTCACGGGTTCCTTTTCGGTATCTGACGTGCTTTTAACCACACCACAGCACACACGTGGTGCAACATCAACGGCACTGCTTTCACACTTGGTAGGCTGCATGTCTGAAGGTGGGACATTAGAAGTGAGGTCTGGTTCTCGGGGTAGGCCACAGACATGGAAGAGGGTAACGAAGGGTGAGAAGGAGGCATCAGATGTGACCACTCGAACTTTGGAGCGCAGGGGTAGTGAGCTGAAATCTTTGGCAACTACTGTTGCCAGCAGTTCTGGTAATGCCCAAGAGCAACTTCAGCATGACCTCAAAGTCATGGCTACATCAGACAGGGACAGCCTTTTGACGGATGCAGGTCTACTTTGCACCTGGGAAGTGTCTGCTCTAGCACTGAAGGCAGACCTGCATCTGACGTGGTATGCACTGAGGAAGTTGAGGGTATGGTTGACAGAGTTTGGTATCTTTTTGCAGTCAGAGAGGTTGATGAGGGCAGACATCCGATCAGAGCTCCCTTTTGAGTTTCTAGCAGAGAAGGTCCCAATGACAGACAAGGCTGGGAACATCACCCTGTGTGCCATGGTTGCCATTTTAGATCTTGTCGGCCTTGTCACCCACTACCTTTCTGCCATGCATGAGGCTGGACAGTTGACCTGGCATGATGGAGCAGTCCCCAAGGACACCATCATTGTCAAGATTGGTGGTGACCATGGAGGTAAATCCTTCAAGATGGCTTTCCAAATCGCCAACCATGTCCACCCTAATGCACTTGAGAACACCGTTCCCTTTCTTTTGTTTGCAGCAAAAGATTCACCAGCCAACATGGCCACTGCACTTCAGCCCTTTCAGGCACAGATTCGTGAGCTGAGCACCATGACATTCATGTCGTACAAGGTGAAGGTTGTGTTGTTTGGAGACTATGAGTTCCAGACGCACAACTACGGTCTTTCCGGTAGCAGTGGTGTGTTCCCTTGCTTGCACTGCCACACTGCAAAGCGTGACTTCCAGCAGTCACCTGCAGCTAGGACTCAGCCTGTACTGCCCCGGACTCTGACCACACTTGCACAGAATCACAAGGAGTTTCTTGAGAGTGGGGGTGTTGCTTCAAATGCAAAGAAATACTTTAATGCTGTGAGGCCATGCATTCTGCCCGTGCCAATTGAGGATGCATGCATCCCCTCATTGCATTTGGATCTTGGGATATTCCCATACCTATTTGAATGCATGTTACAGGAAACCCAATCCCTTGACGTCGCACTAGCCAACCACATGCCTGACATTAACTGTGATCTGAATGGTCGTACCTTTAATGATCTAGTTAAGATGAACAGTGACAGGAAGTCTAAGGAACTAGAGCTAGCTACCATTGATACTAAGTTGGATGACATGATGCAACTGCTCACGTTCAATGCCATGCACCTTCAACAAGCAGCAGCAGGTACTGAGGTGCAGAGAATACAAGTAGTGATAGGCCAGCTACAGCTACAGCACAGACAGCTATCTGAACAGCAGAAACAAATCAAAGCAGAGCTTCATGTGCTCAAAGGTCACATTGACAGTGTCAAGACTTTGACAGATGGGCCATGCCTTTCATCCTACGACGACACACTACAGACTGTCAACATCAAACGGCAACAGTACCATGGCGGAACCTTTGTCGGCAACCACGTTCACCGTATGTTGAGTCCCGACAAAGATGGCAACTTTGCCTTGGTCCACAAGCTTGTCCAGGCTCCTTCCAAGGCTCTGGAGAAGTACGAACTTGGTGCCGACCACCCCGTCACAGACATGGCTGCTTCCTTGGCTGCACGATACACAGCACTCTTCACCACCTTTGCGAAGTGTCGTGCAGTCTACAACCTTGCCTCAGCTGTAAATGAAGACCAGCTCCACCAGCTTCAATGCCACATCCAGAGCTTTATGACCTTGGTGAGAGAGCAGATCGTGAAGCGCCATCTGGGGAACATCACTCCCAAGTTACACCTGCTGGAGCAGCATGTCGTGCCACAGATGACCCACTTTGGCTGTGGACTGAGTCTTCTGTGTGAGCAAGGTGGCGAGGCTCTCCATGCAGCGTTCAACACTTTGGACAAGAAATGCAGCGCTGCATGTCCACTTCAACGACTGCTCTCCATCACTCGCCAGCACTACTTGAGGACTATCCCCAAGTTACAGAACGAAATGCCTTCTGCTAAGAGGAGAAAAGATCGTCGCGTCAGGTCTAATATTAATTCGAATCATTGCAAGGAGAAATAGGCCGATAAATAACTGTTTTACTTATTATTTCGTTGTTGCTCTTCGGAGTGGGAAAGGGGTCCATCATTGCACGCGTGATGGAATGGGTGTTCTAAGCGTGCCGTCTCAGATGAAGACGAAAGAAACAAACTTTCTCCTCATTTCTCCTCATGCGCTTCAGCGCAGCAACCAAATAATTTGAATTTCCACAATCACTCGTGCATGAAAACTCAATCGCGTGCCCACGCGGTATACGCGCGTCCCGTATCCAAGGCCGTTGCTACAGGTCGTCGCCATCTTTATAGATGTCGTGCTGAAAACAGCCGTGCCATAGCCCAAAGGCTGTCGGGGCGTCACAGAGCAAGTGTGAACAAGCGAACATCTTGTAGACACCTGCCATGCCCTAACAGTCTGTATATTTATGGGCAATACGTATTGCATGGCAATACAGCACGAGTACTAGCAAAGCGAGGCACTCTGGCAATACCACTCTCCATAATGCATGTACTGTGGGGAGTATAAGCCGCACACTAGTATCTTGACAGATATCCACCCTGTTCATCACATTCAATTTGAACATTGACTTTTTTGGGTGAATATCCAGTGTTAAATGTCAGGCTCATACCCTGGAAACTACGGAACTCACTAGCAGATATGATGCAATCACTCCCAGATGATGAAATAATCACACCACTATGATGAAGTAATCACTCCCATATAATGAAGTAATCACTCCCATATAATTAAGTAATCACTCCCATATAATGAAGTAATCGCTCCCATATAATGAAGTAATCACTCCCATATGATGAAATAATCACTCCCATATGATGAAGTAATCACTCCCATATAATGAAGTTATCACTCCCATATATTGAAGTAATCACTCCCATATGATGAAGTAATCACTCCCATCATGATAAAGTAATAGAGAGGCTCTGCATAACGAATTTCGTCTCTGCTGATGACGAAAAATGTGACGAAATTTGAGGCGCGAAAATCCAAACGCCGGTAGGGTCTGCAGGACGAAACTTTGCTGCGCTATTTTCGCTGCTTTTTCAATGCTGCTTTTCTACGGATTTTTTTCTGACTTGTGTTTCCGGAGCAAAATCACCTGGTTCAGTCGTGAAGTGTTGTCCGTGGCGTGGGTGTGGGAGATGTCGGTGGATATAGGAGATGATGACGGGGAGTTGTTGTGTTGTTTCCTACTACTGGAATACGATGACGGAGACCTCGAGCAGGATGAATTGTTGTTTCTGGTCACCAGAATTGGCGCTTGCACAACGGGAGTCAGCGGATCCACACCATCATCTTCCCTCACCATACGCCGTCCAAGTGCTTCAATCGTAAGCTGAAGGTACCACACTGAACGACGTGCCACGGAGATAGAAACTAAAATCGACTCAGATCAAAGCAAGACTGTACGTAGTACGTAGAAAAGGTGTCCGCAGTGAAGCAAAAGAGCAACAAAAATTTGTTCGCTCAACACTCGAGTTTCACGCCCACTTCGACGAATATTCGTCCACTTTTTCGCCGCACTCATGGTGACGAAAAAATGCAACGAAATTCGTTATGCAGAACCTCTCTAATCACTTCCAGATGATGTTTCTTTCACAACCAAGCGAAGTTGCATTCACTCGCGGCTGGTGACGGAATACGATACTATCTTCGTACGTGTGTGTATGTATATGTGTATGTGTGTATGTGTGTGTGTTTTTTGCTCCTTGGGAGCAGGTTACACTTTCTGAGCTCCGTGTTCTTGGCTTTCTCCCAAGTTTTCTGCCTGCCCAGGGCGACTCTGGCGTAGCCAGAGTCGACCCTGGAGCACCCTCGCACACTGCCAAGGTAGTGCTGCATGATTGGAGCGCGGAATCGCGATGTAGCTTGCAGGACAATTTACTTCGATATTGTCACTGCTGCGTCGGCCGTGGTCCACCACTCGCAGTGGAGTAGCTGTCCCTCGAGTGCTGTGAAGAATCCAAGCTCGAAGAATGCAGTGGTGGGAATTGAGGATTGGCCGGTGGAGTGCTGGAACAACTCGTTGTTTTCAGTGGAGTGGACGAGCGAGTGCGGAGAGGAAGGTCCCAATGGCGGAATGGTGGGAATTGAAACTTCAATATTTCGTCGTCATGAGTGCACTGGTCAAGCGTTGTGGAAGTCTGTCGGATTTGTGAGGCCTTGCCCTGCCGCTTACATCGTCAACGTGGAAGAACTGCTAGTGGAGTCCTGGTGGGATTTCGGATGCCCACACTCCTTTTGCTTGGTGGATTCTTTCATGGACAGTGTTTTTTCGTGACGTGAAATTTTGAATTTTTTTTCCTTCCTGTTCATTTTCAGTCGTTGTCACTGTAGCTGTCAGGTTGTTGTTACAGTACAGCAGTCGTCCGTTCTGCTCCATTGTTTCATCTGTTTTGCCAGTTCTGCTAGCTGATTCTCTTTATTTGCCACTGCCCCTCATAGTGCTCATGCTTGGGTGGAGGGCGGCGTGACCCGTTTAGGGTAGCTGTATCATAGTAGTAGTAGTAGTGTGTGTGTGTGTGTGTGTGTGTATGTGTGCGTGCTTGCACGCGTTTGTATGTGTGTGTATGCGTGCGGGTGCTTCTTTGTGTCTCTTTGTTTTATGCGTTGGTCTGTGTATTTGTTTGTGCATTGACGTGTGTTCGTTTTGTGTGTTCGCTTTTGATTGCCTGTGTGTGTGTGTGTGTGTGTGTGTGTGTGTGTGTGTGTGTGTGTGTGTGTGTGTGTGTGTGTGTGTGTGTGTGTGGATGTGTTTGTTTGTGTGTGTGTGTGTGTGTGTGTGTGTGTGTGTGTGTGTGTGGATGTATGTGATTGTGTGTGTGTGTTTTATAGTTTACTTGATATGGCTGTAAACCGTGTCCTCTCCAAGCGGCCAGGATTTCGCTCTCAGACGGACACAGGCCCTAGAACCATGGCCCCTTTTGGCATATTTTCAGGTTGGTGAAACTGCATTTGTATTAATGTAGAACGGATAAATTTAGCAGGTAAAAACTTTGGCTTTTTCTCAGGATCCAAGTTTCTGTGTAAAAAGAAGAAGATTTGCGGGGCAAAACTTTTAACTCTGTCGCTGAAATGGGTAAATTTTCACCGGCGCTAATTTTGGAATAATCTACTTCAGCGAAATATTAATTATATTGCAGCCATTTCTATAGTATTCTTGTCATGGGTAATATTTGGAGAGGGTTACGTACTTTGGTTGTCGAGCCCCCAGGGAGATCCAATGTTCCGAGCAAACATAATTATAGTTTATTTTATTTTTTGCCAGAGTCTGGAGATAAAACAAATATTCATTAGCATCACAGGCCACATGCCACGTACTGCTCTTTCCTCTCCGAAACTCAACACTTGCAAGCCAGATATCCACAGGATAAGAGTGTTGCTGTAGCTCAGTTGGTTAGAGCATTGCTCGCTAATAGCAAGGTCCCTGGTTCGAGTCCGGTCAGGTGACTGATTTTTTTTCTTTCTTTCATATCTGGCTTGCAAGTGTTGAGTTTCGGAGAGAAAAGAGCAGTACGTGGCATGTGGCCTCCAATTCCCTAATGCTTTGAAATTCTCCGTGAAGTCCAAATTTAGAAATTGTAATTCATTAGCATCGTTACTATTTTATAATTTTAGCACACAGATAAATTTTGTTTTGTTGTATTTTCGTTTTTGACATTATCCTGGCTATATAATAGGGTGTTTAGTGATTTTTACCATGTGACAATATTCCACTGATGATAGTCAAGAGAAAACGTTCTGGACAATCCTTTTTATAAAGCAGAGAGGTTCCAGGTTGTTCAAGAGAGTGCTCAATACCGAGTGGTAGAGCTGGTACAAACAGTAGGAGGACAGAGAAAGTGTCTTTACTCTCGAGTTTCACGCACTAAGCGATCATCAGAAACACAGTATAGTTTGTTTCATTCTTTTTTATATAATAATTTTTTTAATACATGGGAATGAGTGCTCAATCAATTTTATTCATTGCTACTTTACGCCTTTTGTCTCCTCGTCGGTTATTTAAGCCAAGTTATGACTTCACTTTATCCAATCACCCTGTCTGTATTTCTTGTTGTCTTATTGGCTACAGGCCATCGTGAGAATAAAAGATTAAAAAAGATTGTTGCATGGTAATGTTCACAACACTAACAACAAAAACAAAAGAAAAACACAACAAAAACACATGGGAGCGTGTTATGAAGCAACTATCCATGACTGTAAGAGGGTTTTTATTTTTTTATTTTTTTTAACTTTGTTTTACTTCGCAAAATCCTACGGGAATTTCTTCCCAATGACAAGGTAGCGAAGAGGGAAGAGAGAGAGGTTAATGGACAGTGAGAAAGTGCGATACACGTCGTCCCTCGTTAATACATAATCTCTGGGACTTGACAAATGTTATGTATTAACGGGGTTTATGTACTAAACGAAAGTGTACATAACTTGCTTGTATACTAGAATTTTTCACTTTTTTCAACTTTTCTGAGTGTTTCTTGCTGCCATGACTAGGGAGCGAGATATTCTTGATCCCCTCGATATAACATAAAAATTATGTTATAACGGTCCCCGTCAGCGAAGATTCTACAGTTTACATGATACATGTCCAGCCGTTCCTGTATACAGTCACTCGAAAAAAAACAGAGCTTTGTCGGTTTGTGATATGCACTCTGATTTCTGAGCTAATTGAATCCACAAGTAGAAACTAGAACACGACGTGCCTCCACTGGAAGGCCAAAAGACCAACAAATTATGTACTATTGAGGTAGGTGGCGTGCGGGTACGGAGAAATGTTATGTACTAACGGGGTTTATGTACTAACGAATTATGTACTAACCGACAAAATTTGTATGGAAGTGACAACGTTTCGTCCGGGACTTGAGATTTCTTATGTACTAACGGGGTTTATGTACTAACCGGACTCGTATTAACGGGGGACGACCTGTAACAGAGTACTGAGACATTCAACGACCTGAAACCTAGCTGTTATGAACCCTCTAAGATTCTCTAAATTGTCAGGATCGTACGACCACACGGCACGAGGACAACTGTTTTCCTTTACACAGTATATTTCACTTCATCTGATAATTAACAATGAACACTAATAACACCAGCTATTTATAGCATGCAAAAACAGCGTACATGCAAAACATAAGCATATAAAACTGGACATAACAGCGTATACAGCAAAAACACACACAGCGCATATAGCGTATGCCATGCAGCAACATCAGCGGTACGGCGGAGTCGAAAGACAACATTGCGACGAATACAACGCCATAAGCGCGAAGGCCTTTCCCAATTGAGAACTGGTGGTTTGCAACATTCTCCCCACCAAAGGGCTTCTCACCGCCGTACAACAATGCACACAAGTCAAAAACGATCCGGGGCTCTGACTACGCGCCCAGAACGCGTCATCTCCTGCTGCCGTGGTGGTGGTAACGGTGCTGACGGTTCATACGCTGGCTGCTGAGGGACGATAGCAGGTTGAGCGGTATCGGCAAGCCCAGGAGCCACGTCCTGTGACGATACTTCTAATGGCACTAACCTTTGGATCGGCCTCAACAGGGTACTGGTACTCAACTTAACCTTGGCAACACGACGCTTACCATCTCGACCAGGGAATAACTCGATGATCCGTCCCAAACGCCAGAACTGTTTGCGTTTGGTATCATCGAGAACAAAGACAACATCACCCATAGCTAAAGGGCGCGACCTGGTCTGTTGGTGCTTGTTCAGCTGACTTAGGTACTCCACCTCCCAACGATTCTTGACATGCTCCAGTGTCCGACTGAGGTAACGTAATCTCGATGACATCTGCGCAGCGTCCAGGGTACCTGCTGGCTTCTCTGACGACATCCAGATGTTACCCATCATCATTGCAGGGGTTACTGGTGGCTCATCCAGGCTATCAGACACATAAGTTAGCGGACGACTATTCACCACTGCTTCAACCTCATACAAGAGGGTCTCAAGCTCCTGGACCTTCAGAAACGCTGTTCCCATTACCTTTTTCAAGGCACTCTTCACTGTACCAACCATTCTCTCATAGAAGCCTCCATGCCATGGTGCAGCTGGAGGATTGAACATCCATGGCACACTCAGTTTGTCAGATGCCGCCTTGAACGTTGTAGCGTTGTCAGACCTGATCCGAGACGGCAAACTACGTCTCGCGACAAACTTCCGAAATGCTATCAAGAATGACTCAGTACTTAAACTATCGACCACCTCCAAGTGAACTGCTCTGGTGGTGGCACACACAAACAATGCTATCCATACCTTCGGAGATGACTCACCACGGCGCACGTACAACGGACCAGCATAGTCGATGCCGGTAGTTGCGAACGGCCTCTCGTGAACAACTCGGTCTTCCGGCAGCGGCGGGCAGACTTCTGAGGCAGCCTTAGCCTTGTAGCGGCGGCATGTAACACATCGCTGAGTAATGTTGCGTAGCGCCCGTCGACCAACGATGATCCAAAATTTCTGACGGATGAACGACAAGACTCCTTCTACACCTTGGTGCATCCTTTCAACATGCATTTTCTCCAACAGCAACTCGGTCAGATGATGTTTGCCTAACAGGACTGGGTGCTTGGCTCCATACGCCAACTCGCTGTGCTGAAGTCGTCCCCCGGCTCTGAGCACTCCATGCTCATCCAGAAACGGTGCAAGCTGATACACCTTCGACCCAGGCTTCACTGGTTGACCTTGCTTGATCAGCTCAAGATCCTCAGCGAAACATGCGGCTTAAACGATGCGGTACAATACGTTGTCTGCTGCAAAATAGAGTTGAGCACGAGGCTCAGTGTGCTTCCACTGCAACATCCGAGTCACCATGCCCTGTGCCCTCGACCATTTACTGAATCGGAGCCACCATTCCTTATCAGATTCTCGACTACAGGTGGTGGCTGACACTCGTACTTCTACACTGGACTCATCTGTAGCTGCGGTTGAGGATGCGGTGGGCCAGTCATTGGGCTCCGTGATCCAGGTTGGTCCGCCCCTCCAGAACGGACTACGGATCTGCTGTGCACTACTCCCACGCGACGGTAAATCTGCTGGGTTGTGAAGGCCCGGGCAATGGTTCCACACAATGCCGACCTTCTTCGATATCTCTTGGACTTGACTGACGCGGTTAGCCACAAATGTTTTCCATTTGTACGATGGATTACTGATCCAATGAACGGTAGTGAGACTGTCAGTCCAGCCATAGACTTGCGTGACGGTCACACGCAGCTCCTTCACCACAAACTCAGCGTAGCGAGCCGCTAGACATACTGCTTGTAACTCAAGGCGGGCTAACGTGGGCGGAGACACAGGTGCCACTTTGGCCTTGGCAAATACCAAGTGCGACTGTCCATTGACGACTGCATACAAACAACATCCAAACGCTTTCTCACTGGCATCGGCGAAGGCATGAAGCGCAATCGGCGTGTCAAGATTGCAGCAAATCCAACGTGGTATGTCAATGCTCACCACTTCGGCCAACTCTCCCCACCATTGCGCACATGCGGCTGCGATGCCATCAGGCAACCCATCATCCCAGTTGCCTCTGACTTTCCAGGCTTGCTGTAGCAGTATCTTTCCCGGCACAACTGCCGGTGCTGCTAGACCTAGCGGATCAAACACTGATGCAACACACTTGAGGAGGGATCGCCGGGTCCAAACAGACGGCCTATCGGACTCGCCTAGCGCTGCTATGCTGAGCAAGTCATCACTGGTTTTCCATTTCAGACCGAGGACTTTATCTCCGGCCTCTGGATCGCACGGGATTTCGTTGCCTCGCCACTTGCGTAACTCCATGCCAGCATCCGTAAGCACACGCACGCTGAACTCTTGCATCTCCTTGGCTTCCGAGGCATTTGAGACACTAGAGACCAAATCGTCAACGTAGAAACTCGTGAGCAAGAGATCAATACGCTCTCGCTCTTTGGGTGCAGACAACGCCCGTAGCTCCTTCAAG